TGTTGCTTTACATTATTTTTAAATTTATAATTTCGTTACCATTCAATTAAAGTAATAAATACGTAGCTGTGCGCTTTGTTAAAGTTTACTGAGTTTACAAATAATCGTTTCTCAAAACTACTTTGAGTCATTATTCTGTACAATGACACATTTATACTCATACTCAAATCCCAAGTTTGTAAATTTCTTTGTACTGGTGGATTTTAATAATTATCATGCGGTCAATAAACTGATTGAAAAATGAGCAATGTTATAATAAAATTTTTAGGTACTGACTGAAACAAAGAATAGTTAAAAGTAAAAATTTATCTTGAAAAAAAATGGAAATTTTGAGAAAAAATTAATTAGTTAAAAATTTTAAACAGTTTTATTTTCTAGCTGAAGAAACAAAAATTTTTTTATAGTAACTTTCTTGTTTTATATTTTATTTTATTTTATTTAAATAAACAAACCCAACAGCCCAGGGGCCATTAACAGTTGAAAAAGTTTTTTGATTTCAGAAAAAAAAATTAGGTAGACAATTTTCGAACTTTCATCTAAAATTGTTTTTTATCAAATTTAGAAAATTTTTTTTCAATATTTTACGGTGAGAAAAATTTTTATTTCTTCAGCTAAAAAATAAAACTTTTAACTAATTAATTTTTTATTATAAAATTGATTATTTTTTTCAAATAAAATTTTTCCTCTCAATGTAAAGAACAAATAAGAAGATAATTGTGAAGATTTTTGGCTCCATTTAAAAAAAAAAATGAGCATAAACTGATAAATATTTGGAGCTTTTTCTCCAAACAATTTGCTAATTTTCATCCAAAATTGCTTTTTCCCAAATTTATAAAATTTTTTTTCAATAATTTAGTTACTGAGAGAAAAATTTCTATTTCTTTAGCTAAAAAATAAAATTTTTGACTAATTGATTTTAAAGTACAATGTATGATTATTTTCAAAAGAAATTTTTTCATTTAATGTAAAGAATAAATAAAAAGATAATTGCGGAGATTTTTGGCTCCATTCTTTATAAGGATCTATGAAAATGTTAATTGTATTTTTTGTGTATAAAATTTGACCAAAATAATTCGTTAGAAAAGAACTGTGCAAAAAATTTCTTTTGAAAAAAAAAATCGGTATTGTTATAAAAAATAAATTTTTTTAAAATTTCATTTCTTAGCTGAAGAAATAAAAAATTTTCACACGGTAAATTTTTTTAAAAATAAACAATTTTGGATAAAAATTCGCAAATTGTCTCTTAATATTTTTTTTTTCCCAATAAGAAAGTTGTATTGAGGAAAATTTTTATTTCTTCAGCTAAGAAATAAAATAGTTTAAAATTAAAAAGTAATTTCTTGTTACAACATTGCTCATTAATTTCAAAATAAATTAAAATTCGCAATGTATTTTTGAAATCCCTATTTAATGGACTAACAAAATAATTTCTTACGCAAGTCATGTCAGTAAAACTCATCTGTTAATTAGTTAGCCTTGAATAGGTTGATAATTAAAGTTACGATATGAATTCACTGGTATTAATAGTGTAAAAGTTGTATCTAGTTTATGTCAGTGAAAAAAAATAACAAGTAAATAAATAAAAAATATATAAAAAAAAAAAGAAAAAAACAAGTGGAAGGTGGAAACGTGTCATGGTAGAGAGGAAAGGGAAAGAGAATCAAGCGAATGGGAACCCACGCGCAAGTAAAAGTGTGACGAAAGTAAAATATAAGTTTCCAATGTAATGATGCTTTGATTAGCTGAATATGAAGATTGTGATAATTAAATATTTAATAGTAACTCAAGTGGTTTAGATTTAAAAATTAAACAGTCATCTATAAAGGTGATTCACCAACATGAGCACAAACTACATATTAGCTCGGTTTATAAATTCTGTTTAATATTTAGTAGCTGTAGTTGCTAGCTAAGTATTATTAGTGTATTGTGCGTTTTAGCACACAAGACACCAGCCTGTAATTGTGTGGAGCACACAGGGTAGGGATAAGGGTGAGAAGTCCAAAGCTAAGTAAGAAAACTAAGCGTGTATGTATACAGCAAGGAGGGGAATAACAGTGAAGAAACGTGTAGGGGTGTCAGTACACAACAAGAAACACACACAGTAGTTATTATATGTGTTATATTAATATGTAACACACAAAGAATAAATACATGTGAGTATAATATGATATGTATTCTCTGGATCGGCGCTGGCGTCGTTGATCGACAAACCAAGACGACGATGACGATTATAACTGTACGATAAATACTACAACGACGACGTACCCGTTGAGGAGTTTAAGAAGATAATGATGAAATTAAAAATGTTATTGAGTGAGAATAAATTTATAAAATAAATACAGGGTCAACACTGTATCCACTCACACTCTTACACCAGAGATTAACTTCCAATTGCGTAGTTTCTTTGTGAAAAATAAAATATATTTAGTGTAAGATGTACGAGCTTTGTGATTGGATCACACCCACGGCAATGGATCATGATTACGCACATACAATGACGAGTGTAGAGAACAATAAATGCAATCTATGTTATTTTTTTTTCTCTTTCTTTCACCTGGGGATTTAAAATATATTTATTAAAGCTCAATCGATACGTCATAATAAAAACAGTGACGTATTTATTTTGTTAAGTGACATTACCTTTGGTTGTTATTATATGAGTACTGATAAAAATAGTGATTGTAGATGGTCTAAGTAAAGCTTATTAATTTTATTGCGACACTTACCGAAGGCTACTGTGGTGTAGCAGGGCGCAATATGTCAGCTGACTAGACGTGTGGCTGATTGTAATCCTGCGACAGAATCCCACATAATTTACAGCAACAAATTAGCTCTCTTACGTTGTTTTATTTTTTATAATTTATTTCAACTGATGGAATAGAATATTAAATTTTATTTTCTCGTTTCTCCGATTTCAATACCGTGACGATGCGTGTGCTAAGCGTTATACACTGATTTCACAGCCACTTTTTTTATTCTTTCTTTCCTTTTTTTTTATTACAGCTATACCCACTCGCCTTTTACTACTTCGTATGTCGAACGTTTTGATAACTAATGAAAAATAATCACTGTCGCATTTATATTATTTTAAAATCCAAATCATAATAATAATAATAATAATAATAATAATAATAATAATAATAATAATAATAACAATAATAATAATAATAAAAAATAAAACCAGGGAACTTAGAATGTGCAGAAACGTTCACACCCAACTCTCCCGTTACGAAATGAAACTCTACCAAATCAACGAACAGAGAGACCAATACTGCTGCTGATGACTGTGACTGGTAAAGCTCTTTGCTCTCTGTTGCTTTCCTACTCACCACCCCACTCCCAACTCCAACTGCTTGGTACTTGCTGATGTTAAATAAAGTCCACACTACTCCTTACAATATGTACACGCAGTGGATACGCTGAGCCGCGAAATAACCCGAGTCTAGTCATCAAACCCGAGCACACCCGATCTGAATAAAACATCAACGAGGGTTTACTACCTCCTGGTGATATGATGGCTCCTCTTGCTCCAACCAACCACAAGCTTATTAACCATCATACTGAAGTTAGCTGAGCTGTCAATTTTTTTTTTAATTTTTTTATTACAAATTAATTGCAGTAAAAAATTGTTTTTTAAAATTTTTTTTAATTTTCACTTGTGAAATTTTTTAAATATAGTTTTATTTATGTAAAGCATTGTAAAAAAAATTTAATATAACTTCAATGTCTGACCATAGGATAAATAAACTCCAGATAGAAATGGCCGTCAACTTCTTTGCCTAGTTTTGTGTGAACTGAAGTTAGCTGACAGCTGTCAATTTTATGAAAATTAATTGGGCAGATATTTGATCATTTTAAGAATTTTTTTAACAAATTAATTATGGCAAAAAATATGAAAATTAAGTTAGGTAACATTTAAAAATTTTTAGAACTTTTTTTTATTGAAAAAATTATTGCAAAAAAATAAAAAAAAATTTCATTTGTAAAAAACTTGAAAAAAACTGTAGGTCCAATTTTTTAAAAAATCTTTTTTTGATCTAATTTAATTATTGAAAAAAAAAATTAAAAACGTCAGCTAACTTTAGTGTTATATATAAAAAAATCAACTAGTAGAAATTTTAAAAAATAAAAAATGTAATTTTTTAAAAATAATTTTTGGGGAAAAATCTTTGTTAAAAAAAATTAAAAAATGAAACTGAAGTTAGCTGTCAGCTGTCAATTTTAAAAATTTTTATAATAAAAAATGCTTCTAAAAATTTTCACTTGTAATTTTTATTAATTTTCACATGTCAAATTTTTTTTTTATAATAATTTAATTGCCATAAAATTATAAAAAAATTTTTAATTGTTAACTTCAGTGTCATAAATAAACTCCAGATGGAAATGGCGGTCAACTACTTTGCTTAGTTTTGTATGAACTGAAGTTAGCTGACAGCTGTCAATTTTTTAACAAATAAATTGTAATAATAAAAATACTTTAAAAAATTTTCATTAATTTTTTAAAAATTTTTACATGATAAGTTTTTGAATTCAATTTTTTTTTTATAATAATTATATTTATTTTATAAAAAAATTTCCAATATCAACTTTAGTGTTATTAGTTTTGTATCTCTATTTTCATTGGGCAGTTTCTATTTAAACAGCCAATCAAATTCTTCCATTGTTATTGCAGAGTCATCTTGTGAATTTTTTTGTAAATTTCCATTTACTATTATTATTATTTTTATATTTACTGATACAGCTATAAAAGCACATACATATTAAAATAATAACAAGTTTTTTATTGTTATTTTTGTCAGTGCTTTGTGTTGTAAATTTTTTGTTTTAAAATTTTTGATAAAATTAACAAGTGATTTAATTTAAAAACTAAATTGAAACAAAAGAAATTCTTGAAGTTTTACAAGTGCACAAAGATAACCTTAATTTATATTTTATATTTTGACAGGGAGAAAAATTATTTATTTTATTTGATTGGTAAATAAATATATAAATAAAAAACAATGGCATCGTCAAGAGAAAAACGTGCCAATGCTGGCAATAAAATGGCAAAATTGTTAAATGAAGAGGAAGAAGATGATTTTTATAAAACGACTTACGGTGGATTTGAGGAAGTCGAACAGGACAATGATTATATGTAAATATTTATATTATTTATTTTTAAAATTTGTTTGTTAATTATTTTTAATCTTCAGGGAAGAAGATGAGGGTGAAGATGAAGTTGATTCAGATTTTAGTATTGATGAAAATGACGAGCCGGTGTCTGATCCTGAGCAAGAAGGACCTAAAAAAAAACGTAGACTTGTAACAAAGGCTTACAAAGAGCCGAAGCCGGTGACTACGCAGCCAAAAGCTGTTACCAAAGAAAAAAAACCACGAATTATTAAACGTAGAAAATTTTCCAATGACAGTACAGGTATGTTTTTATTTTATTACTAAGGTAAAAACCCTCACTATTGATACTCTATTTTATTTTATTATTTCATTATTAAAATCTGTTAATAATCACAATTGTTGATATTTCATGACAATCTTACATATTTTTGAAATTAAAAAATAGTAAAATTTAATTTCAAGGTATAAACTATTTATCGCAAAAAAAATTTCATTTTTTTAAGGAAATCCTTTCGCTCCAGTTGAGTCAAAACAATTGTAGTAGTCAATATACGATAAATTAAAATAAAAAA